GTCGCTCCGGCCGGACACGGCATCAACAGTATGTGAGGGGCGTAACATTTCCGTCTCACGCTTGAGGTATTCGGCCAATCACAACGCACTGGATAGCTGGCCAATCACAGCACACCTCGCTTTTTCTGACCGATGAGCTTTGTAAAAATCGACACGTTTCAGAAAGGCGGGGCATAGAGGAGAAACAATAATGTACAGTATGTGGAAAATAATGTGTTTTTTTAACTTTAAACCGCATAAATGCATTTCATTACACCAAATACACAAAATAATGTTCTTTTTAGCAACATCATATGACCCCTTTAATATTTGCGCGCGTTCTGAGATGCGGGTTTGCACGCTTCGGATGAGCACATGCACAAATCTTTTAACTGCACGCGCGAGCTCGCGTCCTCTGGCTCTTAAATGTTTAAACTGGCAAAGCTTAAACGAGTTTAGCTTAAACACAGATATCAACGTGTGCTGTTCAGGTCTCGCCTAGGCAGCCTATATAGGACTGATTGTGTTTGCCCATTTCTGACCCATATGGGTTGGCCAAGCAGGCCCCATATGTGTTTCAACCCACATAACCCACATAGAGATTACCCATGTGGGTTCTACCTTGGGCCCATGCAGGCAGCCTATATGGTGTTTGCCCAAGAGATTACCCATGTGGGTTCTACCTTGGGCCCATGCAGGCAGCCTATATGGGACTGATTGTGTTTGCCCATGTCTGACCCATATGTGAAACCCATATGGGGGCCATATGTGTTGCCCATTTTGAGCCCATGCCCTCATTTCCCATTAGTGACCCAACTAGGCCCCACATGGGAAGCCCACCTGGTTTTGCCCATGTGAGACCTACTTAGCTGACCTAAGTGGGCCCCAGATAAGATGCCCATTTTGGGACCATGCCCACTTGGTACCCATGTAGCCCAAGTATAAACCATGTGGGGCCCACATATACATGTTGGCTGGGCTGTGTGCGCGCGCTATCAGTAGCCGGGTGAAGGCGGAATAAATGCTCATATTCCAGCATACGGCATTCGCATTGAACAAGAGTGAATGGTTTGTCCACGCTTTTTTTTTTTCATCGCTGTTGTTTTAATGTATTGGGAAGCCAGAATGTGCACCCATCAACAGAAACATATATTAGCCGAACCCTGTTTGTTTTACGTGTTATTTATAGCAAACCATATTACAGATGCGTTGTCAGATTTAAGTTGAACCGCGGTCCTAGCGCGTGCCGAACCATGTGTGGAGAACCGTACGGTTCGATTTTTTTCCGCGAACCGTTCCATCCCTAGTCAGCGCCGATACATACAGCGCCCTTGCACTATGGGCGTCCCAAGTTCGAATCTTGACTCAAGGACATTTCCCAATCCTGCCCCCCATCTCTCTCCCACTTCTCTTCCTGTCAGTTCTGATCTGTCCTAACATAATAAAGGCAAAAATGCCAAAAATAAATCTTTAAAAAAATTCAAATAAGAATAGGTAAGTGCTAGTATTAATTGGTAATGTGCTGATGAAAAAGATTTATTGAAAATGGCTAAAGACTCAGCTGAGAGTGATTTTGTGCCTGGGATGGCACCACGAGGTGGCGTTCACTTGCAGAACATAAGCTCCTGGACAGCGCATAAGTCTGAACTAGCGAGTTTAGGTATATTAGTGCAGAGCCAGTGGATGTCTTGTAGGCAAACATCAGTACCTTGAATTTGATGTGAACAGCTATCAGCAGCCAGTGCAAACTGATAATGATTATCCAGTCTGCAGTAATTTTTTAATGTCGGAATTATGGAATTTTTTTTTTTTACATAGGTCAGTGATTTTATGCATATTAAAAAAATCAATATATTTGTTACATTTACAGTCTAAAGTGATTTGTGAAGGGTTTTTTTCTTTTAGTTTTAGTTCTTATTTTTTTCTCAAAAGAGAAAAGAACATTTTATTCTTCATAGTTTGACCCCTTAAATATTTATACATTTACTTGGTAATGTGGATATGCACAGATATAAATATAGAATTCACATTACATGCCAGCTGTCATGTTCAGGTTTCTAGACATTGTATTGCTTGAATCCGGTTATGCCGATTGAATTATGTTTACATAATCAGAATTTTCCTGTGCTCTTTTCAGTCCTGGAACTATCTCAGATGACACCGACTCTTCCCAGGCCATCTACACTGAATTTGATGACGACTTTGAGGAAGAGGAACTCGCTGCACCTATTGGTCAATGCACAGCACTCTACAATTTCCCAGGTATGATTATTATACAGTTTTGCCTGAGCATTTGTGAATATCATACCCACCTCTTTTCCTCTGAGACTCCTCCATTTGTCCACAGGCTCCAGTGAGGGAACCATCTCCATGCAGGAAGGGGAGGTGCTGTCTGTAGTGGAGGAGGATAAGGGAGACGGATGGACACGAGTGCGCCGGAACAACGGGGACGAGGGCTATATCCCAACTTCTTATGCTACCATCACTCTTACTAAATGACCTCATCCCCTTTCCACCCGCTGCAGCAGTGATGCACTATACCAAACACTATGAGTTGCTTCAGATTACCACTCATGTCCCAACATGGCTTGCTGCTCCTCTCAGAGGGATAATTTAAGGGGGAATCACTGCACATTGGGCTAATACACTCCTCCTCTAAGGATGAATGAGTATCTCAGGGTGTGTATTATGTGAGTAAATGAGGTAGAGAAGGTTGGAATAATTTTTCTCCTTATTTTGCATGAAAAACGATGCAGCAGGGTGCCATGTATAAATGCAGCTATTGCTCAACAGACACATCAGTTCCTGTGGTGACTCTTATGGTGACTTTTGATAGCAGTCTATCAGCAGAGCTGCGATATTTTGTCTGACCATGATCCACTCAACGTGTCCTTCACTAAGATCTTCCATCTGCAACTTGATGATGTGATTCTGCGTCTGGAGCGAAAAGCGTAACTATCTCCGCTGGCAGAAATCCAGCAGCGTTTTAACTTGAAGTATTTGCTTTGATGATCTGAGTGGCCAAAAATTATGTTTTACAGGAGTAAGTGTTGCATATGCTTCCTTAAATGTGCAGTAACATGAATACCACATCTATGAGTCAATAAGACCTAACATTTTTGTCTATAGAAAATACTGAGCTCCAAAGTAATATTAAGTAACTCCCTCTTTCTTTCTTTTTTTAAGACTGTTACACAAATACATAAGTTGACATACTCAACAATATTATGACAATCAAAGTCTCAATCTGCAGAAAAAGCCACACTTCTCAAATCTACGAATATGTAGTACATTAAATAGTTTGTTGAAATAAAAGAATATAATTTATTGAGTATATAAATAAGTGTTTGTATAATAAACAATCAATCACATTTATATAAGAGTTGACTGCACACATTTGCTATTTCAGATAGATCAACAATGCACAGTGTACTCGCAGTTAAGAAAAACTATTTTAGGTGACAAAAGCTAATTTAGGAGTTTCATATATAGATATATGAAATAATATATTTTAGGCATCACAACACCACTATTGTCTTATTAGCTTTCTGTTCTTGATGAATAAAGATTGTATTGTTAATAGATTTCTAAATACAAGGGTTCGAGCCTCTGTTCAGCATTTGTTTTGTTTGTCTTTGAACAAGTCTAAGGCAGAACTGTTAATGTTTGGCTAAGTCAAGGTGCCTTCAACTTTGTATATGTAACATATTTAGAATACGCTATTTTATTGTCTTTATAAATGTCAAGCACATTTCCAAGTTGACCAGCTTTCCTGTTGTTTTCTTTTTTGGTGAAATTCTCAATGTTTCAAAATGTGTATACCTTTTAAGAAGAAATGTTTATCTTTAGTAGTAGTTAAACTACTTTTACATGCATACTGTAGCGCAAAAAAAAAAGAGCCTTGAAATCAAAATATTGATTTTACATGTTGATTATCATAATACCATTGCTTTTCATAGCTAACAAGTGCCGCCTGCTGGTAATAGGAGGTTGCTGTTAAGTGGACTTGCCATATAGAGTGGCAGCTCTGGTCAGTAGGATTTCATTCTCTCTGGAGTAAATACTCGTATGTCCACTGACTAATAATGCAGCAACATCGAGACTTACTCATAAAGTTTACATTTACTATTATAAATAGTGCTAAATACATCTGCTCAGTTTCCAGTTCTAAAACCTGATGGGGGAAATATATGATGGGTTATTAAAATAAAACTTAACTCAAGTAGGCCTACTGTTGGCCACAAACATTATTTTGCTAATAAATCAGCTGTAAAACAACCAAATAAGCACAATTGTGACCGCACGTTAGCTCTTAAATGTTTAAACTGGCAAAGCTTACATGAGTTTAGTTTAAACACAGATATCAATGTGTGTTGTTCAGGTCTCACCTATCAGCACGATGACTGGATTAAATGACTGCTCATATATTCCAGCATACGGCATTCGCATTGAACAAGAGTGAATGGTTTGTCCACGCTTTTTTTTTTTCATCGCTGTTGTTTTAATGTATTGGGAAGCCAGAATGCGCACCCATCAACAGAAACATATATTAGCCGAACCCTGTTTGTTTTACGTGTTATTTATAGCAAACCATATTACAGATGCGTTGTCAGATTTAAGTTGAACCGCGGTCCTAGCGCGTGCCGAACCATGTGTGGAGAACCGTACGGTTCGATTTTTTTCCGCGAACCGTTCCATCCCTAGTCAGCGCCGATACATACAGCGCCCTTGCACTATGGGCGTCCCAAGTTCGAATCTTGACTCAAGGACATTTCCCAATCCTGCCCCCCATCTCTCTCCCACTTCTCTTCCTGTCAGTTCTGATCTGTCCTAACATAATAAAGGCAAAAATGCCAAAAATAAATCTTTAAAAAAATTCAAATAAGAATAGGTAAGTGCTAGTATTAATTGGTAATGTGCTGATGAAAAAGATTTGTTGAAAATGGCTAAAGACTCAGCTGAGAGTGATTTTGTGCCTGGGATGGCACCACGAGGTGGCGTTCACTTGCAGAACATAAGCTCCTGGACAGCGCATAAGTCTGAACTAGCGAGTTTAGGTATATTAGTGCAGAGCCAGTGGATGTCTTGTAGGCAAACATCAGTACCTTGAATTTGATGTGAACAGCTATCAGCAGCCAGTGCAAACTGATAATGATTATCCAGTCTGCAGTAATTTTTTAATGTCGGAATTATGGAATTTTTTTTTTTTACATAGGTCAGTGATTTTATGCATATTAAAAAAATCAATATATTTGTTACATTTACAGTCTAAAGTGATTTGTGAAGGGTTTTTTTCTTTTAGTTTTAGTTCTTATTTTTTTCTCAAAAGAGAAAAGAACATTTTATTCTTCATAGTTTGACCCCTTAAATATTTATACATTTACTTGGTAATGTGGATATGCACAGATATAAATATAGAATTCACATTACATGCCAGCTGTCATGTTCAGGTTTCTAGACATTGTATTGCTTGAATCCGGTTATGCCGATTGAATTATGTTTACATAATCAGAATTGTCCTGTGCTCTTTTCAGTCCTGGAACTATCTCAGATGACACAGACTCTTCCCAGGCCATCTACACTGAATTTGATGACGACTTTGAGGAAGAGGAACTCGCTGCACCTATTGGTCAATGCACAGCACTCTACAATTTCCCAGGTATGATTATTATACAGTTTTGCCTGAGCATTTGTGAATATCATACCCACCTCTTTTCCTCTGAGACTCCTCCATTTGTCCACAGGCTCCAGTGAGGGAACCATCTCCATGCAGGAAGGGGAGGTGCTGTCTGTAGTGGAGGAGGATAAGGGAGACGGATGGACACGAGTGCGCCGGAACAACGGGGACGAGGGCTATATCCCAACTTCTTATGCTACCATCACTCTTACTAAATGACCTCATCCCCTTTCCACCCGCTGCAGCAGTGATGCACTATACCAAACACTATGAGTTGCTTCAGATTACCACTCATGTCCCAACATGGCTTGCTGCTCCTCTCAGAGGGATAATTTAAGGGGGAATCACTGCACATTGGGCTAATACACTCCTCCTCTAAGGATGAATGAGTATCTCAGGGTGTGTATTATGTGAGTAAATGAGGTAGAGAAGGTTGGAATAATTTTTCTCCTTATTTTGCATGAAAAACGATGCAGCAGGGTGCCATGTATAAATGCAGCTATTGCTCAACAGACACATCAGTTCCTGTGGTGACTCTTATGGTGACTTTTGATAGCAGTCTATCAGCAGAGCTGCGATATTTTGTCTGACCATGATCCACTCAACGTGTCCTTCACTAAGATCTTCCATCTGCAACTTGATGATGTGATTCTGCGTCTGGAGCGAAAAGCGTAACTATCTCCGCTGGCAGAAATCCAGCAGCGTTTTAACTTGAAGTATTTGCTTTGATGATCTGAGTGGCCAAAAATTATGTTTTACAGGAGTAAGTGTTGCATATGCTTCCTTAAATGTGCAGTAACATGAATACCACATCTATGAGTCAATAAGACCTAACATTTTTGTCTATAGAAAATACTGAGCTCCAAAGTAATATTAAGTAACTCCCTCTTTCTTTCTTTTTTTAAGACTGTTACACAAATACATAAGTTGACATACTCAACAATATTATGACAATCAAAGTCTCAATCTGCAGAAAAAGCCACACTTCTCAAATCTACGAATATGTAGTACATTAAATAGTTTGTTGAAATAAAAGAATATAATTTATTGAGTATATAAATAAGTGTTTGTATAATAAACAATCAATCACATTTATATAAGAGTTGACTGCACACATTTGCTATTTCAGATAGATCAACAATGCACAGTGTACTCGCAGTTAAGAAAAACTATTTTAGGTGACAAAAGCTAATTTAGGAGTTTCATATATAGATATATGAAATAATATATTTTAGGCATCACAACACCACTATTGTCTTATTAGCTTTCTGTTCTTGATGAATAAAGATTGTATTGTTAATAGATTTCTAAATACAAGGGTTCGAGCCTCTGTTCAGCATTTGTTTTGTTTGTCTTTGAACAAGTCTAAGGCAGAACTGTTAATGTTTGGCTAAGTCAAGGTGCCTTCAACTTTGTATATGTAACATATTTAGAATACGCTATTTTATTGTCTTTATAAATGTCAAGCACATTTCCAAGTTGACCAGCTTTCCTGTTGTTTTCTTTTTTGGTGAAATTCTCAATGTTTCAAAATGTGTATACCTTTTAAGAAGAAATGTTTATCTTTAGTAGCAGTTAAACTACTTTTACATGCATACTGTAGCGCAAAAAAAAAAGAGCCTTGAAATCAAAATATTGATTTTACATGTTGATTATCATAATACCATTGCTTTTCATAGCTAACAAGTGCCGCCTGCTGGTAATAGGAGGTTGCTGTTAAGTGGACTTGCCATATAGAGTGGCAGCTCTGGTCAGTAGGATTTCATTCTCTCTGGAGTAAATACTCGTATGTCCACTGACTAATAATGCAGCAACATCGAGACTTACTCATAAAGTTTACATTTACTATTATAAATAGTGCTAAATACATCTGCTCAGTTTCCAGTTCTAAAACCTGATGGGGGAAATATATGATGGGTTATTAAAATAAAACAACTCAAGTAGGCCTACTGTTGGCCACAAACATTATTTTGCTAATAAATCAGCTGTAAAACAACCAAATAAGCACAATTGTGACCGCACGTTAGCTGACTTCTAACGTTAAATTAAACGGCACTGCTGCGTTGCTTCCCAATCGTACCCATCCTGAATTTATGCTAATGAGCTATATTACTCGGCTGATTTTATGCTGCTGCTCATTATTCTACTTAATAAATGTACCTTTGATCATTGGTGTTTTTCATTCGTGCAAAATAGAACAAGTCGTGAAATCACGACCTCTCGTGGCTCATTGATTTATTAGGGCAGGCTTCCGACAGGTGGCAGTATTTGCACAGCAAATATAAACTGGTACTCGTCCTTGCTCATACATTTGCAACCGATTTGAAATAATATATGAACAGTTCAAAACAAAAAACAGACACGTCTTTCTAGAGTAAATCTAAAACCAGTCAAGTGTGACTGACACATCTCCAAGAGTGATGTTTTGACAGACGTGCAAATCCGAATAGGACAACCAAGAAAAAAAATAGCCTTTCAAAAAGCCACAGAAGATCCAGGTGTCAAAATATAAATATTTGGCAACTCAGTGAAAGAGCCCGCTGAACGCTTCAGTGTTTATATTGGGTTCAGCCTAATAGCCTGTGAAAGACTGATGCAGTTGAGCTTTCTCCAGATGTTCCGTCGCAAACTGTACAGCAAAAAACAACAACAACAACAACAATAAATAAATAAAACAAATATACGAACGAGTCATTGCTATACTATTAAATTACTTAAATATTTTAACAATGTTATCACCCAAAAACGAAAATATACGTGTATGAATGAACAAAAACAATGCGTTGTAGCGCAAAAAAAAAAGAGCCTTGAAATCAAAATATTGATTTTACATGTTGATTATCATAATACCACTGCTTTTCATAGCTAACAAGTGCCGCCTGCTGGTAATAGGAGGTTGCTGTTAAGTGGACTTGCCATATAGAGTGGCAGCTCTGGTCAGTAGGATTTCATTCTCTCTGGAGTAAATACTCGTATGTCCACTGACTAATAATGCAGCAACATCGAGACTTACTCATAAAGTTTACATTTACTATTATAAATAGTGCTAAATACATCTGCTCAGTTTCCAGTTCTAAAACCTGATGGGGGAAATATATGATGGGTTATTAAAATAAAACAACTCAAGTAGGCCTACTGTTGGCCACAAACATTATTTTGCTAATAAATCAGCTGTAAAACAACCAAATAAGCACAATTGTGACCGCACGTTAGCTGACTTCTAACGTTAAATTAAACGGCACTGCTGCGTTGCTTCCCAATCGTACCCATCCTGAATTTATGCTAATGAGCTATAATACTCGGCTGATTTTATGCTGCTGCTCATTATTCTACTTAATAAATGTACCTTTGATCATTGGTGTTTTTCATTCGTGCAAAATAGAACAAGTCGTGAAATCACGACCTCTCGTGGCTCATTGATTTATTAGGGCAGGCTTCCGACAGGTGGCAGTATTTGCACAGCAAATATAAACTGGTACTCGTCCTTGCTCATACATTTGCAACCGATTTGAAATAATATATGAACAGTTCAAAACAAAAAACAGACACGTCTTTCTAGAGTAAATCTAAAACCAGTCAAGTGTGACTGACACATCTCCAAGAGTGATGTTTTGACAGACGTGCAAATCCGAATAGGACAACCAAGAAAAAAAATAGCCTTTCAAAAAGCCACAGAAGATCCAGGTGTCAAAATATAAATATTTGGCAACTCAGTGAAAGAGCCCGCTGAACGCTTCAGTGTTTATATTGGGTTCAGCCTAATAGCCTGTGAAAGACTGATGCAGTTGAGCTTTCTCCAGATGTTCCGTCGCAAACTGTACAGCAAAAAACAACAACAACAACAACAACAACAATAAATAAATAAAACAAATATACGAACGACTCATTGCTATACTATTAAATTACTTAAATATTTTAACAATGTTATCACCCAAAAACGAAAATATACGTGTATGAATGAACAAAAACAATGCGTTTGCTCTCTATGTCCAAAACGCAGCATTCGTTGATGAAGCAACATCAGTCAACAGGCCAGGTTATGTTCGCTATACATGTAGGCTATACTGACTGAATAATAATGCGCTTCATAAACATGATTCTCGGCTGTGAAATCAATGAGAATCACTGAGCTTCTTCCATATGTTCAGCATCAGTGCTTGTCTAGAGGACGCCAATTATGCAAATTTGTACCCTCAAATGCTGTGATCTTGTGCCTATCACTTTTTGTAGTGAACAGTTGTTTAAAGGGGTCATATAATGTTGCTAAAAAGAACATTATTTGGTGTATTTGGTGTAATGAAATGTGTTTATGCGGTTTAAGGTTTAAAAAACACATTATTTTCCACATACTGTACAATATTGTTTCTCCTCTATGCCCCGCCTTTCTGAAACGCTCGATTTTTACAAAGCTCATCGGTCTGAAAAGCAAGGTGTGCTCTGATTGGCCAGCTATCCAGAGCGTTGTGATTGGCCGAATACCTCAAGCGTGAGACGGAAATGTTACGCCCCTCACCATACTGTGATGCCGTGTCCGGCCGGAGCGACGAGACATAAACATTAAAACCCATTACAAACGACTTAACCACTGATTTCTAGTCATGTCCTCTTTTGGAAGACCAAACAAAGTAGTTTAGCTTTCACAACGAAACACAGCGTCACACACGGCGGGCTAGAGTGAGCGGCGGTGGGCGGGCTTGCGGCAACCACATGTGACAGCCCTGGGCTGGACTCCGCTTCGTCCACGGTGAAAGCTTTAGTCGTTGCAACTTTACAGATCTTCTTTATGCACCAAGAGCTTGTAACACTCCAAAGAGAAAGGAAAAATTGAAATCGCATCATATGACCCCTTTAAAAAAAAAAAATCACATCTCATTATCTGCCCAAAACATGACATTTGATAGACCTTTATAAATGATTTTTGTTGCACATATATTGCTTCCAATTTTTAGAAGACAGTGTTAAACATAGGCTACTCTATCTACTCTCTGCAGTGAATCTGAATACAGCCGTAGTTACTTCAATTAGAGCTAATTGCATGCTTTTTGCAATTAACCCAATTATCCGGGCTGTTCCTCTCCCTCTCCCTCGTCCCTTATGTTGTGTCAGAACACATACTTAATTGGAATTTGTCTCTACTTTGTAGTCTTGAAAAAGAAGATAATGGCTGGCCTATTCAATAAAGCAGCTGTTGTTACTGCGCTGACATGAAAACCCATGTTAAGTAAGGCTAAGTAGGTTGGAGGACTACCAAAGTAGTTTCACTTTCATCTGCTATAAACGGACACCAGCCTACTCTAATGCATTAAAACATACTCTGCATGCATGCATTCTCCCTCTTACATAAACAAGTTTAAACTCATCTGTAGCCTATGAAGTATTTTTTAACATTTCTCTAATGTATTTATTAAAAAGTTGCAATTGCCTTGATACTGTGCAAGAAAGAATAAGCTTCAAATACAATTAAGCAGAGAAACACGCAATTATTGTATCCATTTTATTCAATTCAATTATTTAATTTTATACACAACAACATTGCTAATTTAGAATATTTTATAATAACACAGATGTTAGGATTTCACTCACAATAGGGAGTTTTTTTTCACTTTTGTAATGCGATTGGCCGCTGCTGGAGTCAGATGCGTCATTGGCTGCTACTTGGGGAGGCGGGCAAAACTACATTGATTCAACCAATGGCGTGATTTTGAGGCGGGGCTCGGAGTGTCGAAACTTGTTTGAAAACAGTCGAAATTGTTTGATGCTAGTGGCTCAAAAATCGCACACAGTTCACTTTCAAGAAGGTTGTGACTTCATACTGTGTTATGCACTTGAGTCATATGTGCAGTGGTTTTATTTGCAATTATCTTAAAGCATCAATTTTTACAGCTTGACAGGCTTTTTGAATTTCTTTGTGTTTTTATTGCGTTGTGCTGTGCTTTTATTGTGTCTCTTTTGTTTGCTCCTCAGGCGGTGTACTACCTC